ACTCTTTCCTTTTTAATAGTTTTATTGACCTTTTCCGTAAGTTTAATTTTTTCAATTATTGAATATTAACATTATTCACAGTTTATTGTAGTAGTTAGTAGGCTGTACCATACTTTTCTCCAGAAACTCTAATGGTGTCTTTCGGATCCAGAAACTGTGGTGCTGCTTCTACTGACTTTCCAGATATTTACCAAAAAAGACAACTGTTATTACTTTGGAGGGAGTTAGCTCACCTGTATGCCTTAGATCTACTGCCATGCCTTTTATTTTTTTTTTTCTTAGACTGCAAAGATACTTTAGTTTTAATTCTTCAGGCCTGCTTTAATTAGTCCTATCCACATACACCTTCTTTGTGTCTCCTTATTGGGAAGAGACACAGAAAAGGCTTTAGATCTGTTTATCCTCTCATGTTGAAGTTTTATGTCAAATCTTCTTTCATAAGGATTTATTATTGATTGGGGTGTATGAATTACTTTCGTAAGATTCATGTTACCACAGAACAGTTGAGGAAAACCTGATATCAATTGCTATGCCTCAGTGACACCATGACTATTGGACATTACTGTCTCAGTCAAAATTATTTATGCTTATTTAATATTGAAATTGTGATGCAGTTTTTGCTGATCACGTTTTCTATGACCTTTGAAAAACCTCTTGCAGTACCATCACTCTTTACAAACCCACTATTTTTTTAAAACAGTGTACTGAACTTTGCATTTAGTTTCATGCTCCTCTGTGGGACTCGTTGAGGTCCTGATTTTCATTAACTTAGTTATCTGGCACAGAATTTATATTATATTCTTTTCAGTGTTTCTGTCTTATTTCCTCTACTTCGTTCTGAATATGCCAATTAAACTTTAAAAATACCTATATTTTGAGCCTCTATCTTTTTGGGGGTCTCTTTGTACCTCGTGAATTTATAGAAACTCTTGAAAAGTGTGCTAATGCCAGACTGTTGATCGCTACCTTTTGAGTTAATTACCACTATTATTGCATATTTCACTTCAGGTCTTGTACCTCTCACTGTGGCACTTCCAATGATACCAGAAAAAACCTGAACTGCTGCTAAAGACTGTATGTCTTTGCAAAAGATCCAGAATACGTAGTACTGCCATTCAAAATATCTGTAAAATTTTGTATTCAGTAAAAAACTGCAGATCCATCCAGGCTCTTAACTCTTTCATCCTTAAAGAAAGGGAATGCCTCCAAAGTTAAAAAGACATGCAGACTTCAGGTTGCTCTTCTTCTTTCTCTTTTGATTTTCACAAATGGAAAGCTAATACTGTTCTTCAAATAAAAAGAAACCTAGATTGTTTCATACATTACTATTTGCAAAGCCTGCCAAAGACAACAATCTCCACAAAGAACTACACATGCCCAGTCACTCTGGTTTGTATGCTGTCCAAGAAAAGCAGAAACAGAATCATCTTTAAAAGACATTTTTAGAATAATGTGGGTAAGCTAGGAGAGTAAGGAACTATGTAAGGATGGCAGAGCTGGGCCTATAATTGTGTAATGTTTATTTTATAGCACATAGCAGTTTATAAACTTACCACATCCTTGGGTGGAGGCTCTACTTCCTTCTTTACTTTTTTACCCATTCTAAAACCAAAAACAAACAAAAAATAAAAGCAGACAAACAAACTCCCTTCTGTGTTTTAGGAGTCAGTTTACCAGGGATTTAGGAAAGCTTGTAAGACAGACTTTCTCATTCATTCGACCCACATAATCAGTTTGAAGATTTCTTTGACATAGTAATTTCTATGCAGAAAGTTGTCCCTTATAAACAAAACAAACTTTCTAACACTTGAACACATTTGGTAAAATACATCTGTCAACCAAATACACAACTAAAAAGAAAGATGTGAGACTTCACAGGCTCAAGTTGTAATGTGGTACAAATACATAGGACATGCTTTTCTCAATGTTAGTTTTATCTGCACCTATAAATCATATATGAACTTGAAGGTCCTATTACGGTATTTCCCCATGTTTGTCTACACATTCTATGTTGGCAAACATTCTATACAACTGCATAACATCCAAATAAGTTCTACCCTGAACATGTGGTTCAAATTCAATTTGAATTCTCTATTCATGTTTCACAGAAGAAAAAAAATCAGGTCTACAGGTATTAAAAAACAATTCTGCACAGTACAAATTCCACTGATTTAAAGACGTTACATCTATTTACACCGAGTCCAGCTTCTGTCTTCTGCTTTTTTTGTATTAGCACATGTGCACATGAACCGGGAAGACCTTCTCAGCCACATCTAATAGTAGCTTCTGAAGCATATGGATGTAAATACCTCACGTGGACCTAATTTCATGTGACTTGCAAAACTTCAACAGAGCCTTCTAGCTAACCTACAGGCAAAAGTAAAGAGCAACAGGACCCACTAACACTAGCTATGCGTAGAATATAACCCAAGTTATGCCAAACTTAGGTTTGTTTTAACACTGTGTAAAAGTGAAATGTGCACTGTTAGTACCCCTTAGTAACTCCTCGGTTAGTTGTCAAAGGAAAACCACACATTCACCCTCAGCCAGGACTATCCTGACAGCTTGCCTGTGGTATAAGAGATTATTTTCTAGTATTATATCAGCCATAGCCTGGTTACAGAAGTCAGGACTATTGTTTGTTGTGTTCAACAAAAATTTGGAGCTCTTCTTGAATCCTCTCATTTTTTTTTCAGGTATTGTTCCTCTGCTGGCCTCTCAAACTGTAACACAGCAGTAGTGAAACCAGTTGATAAGCAATCCTAAAAATGGATCTGAAATTTAAAATTTAATAGGCAGGTCACTAATTATAATTTTGAGAGAAAGACCCATACAATCAAAGATTCTTCAGCTCCACTCTGCTTTACCCTTCTGCATATATACACACACTTATGAACACATACACACATGCTAGAATTCAGTGTTTCAGAACTAGGGCCAAGTTAATTTATATAAGAGAAAGCAAAAGGACAAATTACTGACAGTATATTCAACAAAAATTATGGACATACTACCTTCTGATTTATGCAATCACTGTAGAAAGTAAGCATCATGCACACACACACAAGATTCAGATTTACAAGGACATTCAGGAAATCTGGATTATTTAAATTGTGTTAAATCCTAGTATGGAGATATGGACACTTATTTAGAGTTATTCAGTTCAGCTCAATTCATTTCAGATACAAATTAATCTAAGTCATAAAAAGCAATTTTAATTCTGAATGAGTTTAATTAGGTTTAAACCAACCACTTAAAAAAGTTAATTCATGTAAAAGAATTTATAATGTTGAACAATTAATGTTCACAGATTCAAGTAATTATACATATCCCAAGCCTGTGAATAACTAAAGCCTTTAATTGTAAATATTTCCTCACGCTGTATAAATACATCCAACTTCTGAGAATATTTTCAAGAAACTTACAGATTTTTCTACATGTTCAGAAATATCTGCTTCCTTGGTAATATTAAAAAAAGCAGTATGATCTGTAGCAACGAACACAGAGACAGGACAATTACTTTATTGTGGATTGCTCCCCTCAGCCTGTTTCTCTGCTGCAGTTACTATTCTGGATTTTGGTGCATTCTGCCATCAAATGTTGGTGTTAGCTTTGTTCTCATAAAGCTCTCTGTATTCAGTGGTCATTCTCTGACTTGAGGCAATGATGCACATGGAATACTTTGGCTTACTGATAATTAAAAATGTGTCTTCTGCATTGAATTTTAATTATCACAGACAATCAATGTGTACAGGTATTGAAAAGGGTACTGACCCATGAAAGAACTTCTCATTCAAATCTCTTTCTCTCCATAACAGCATGTTGTCTTTTTGCCCGTAGGTTTACAGTACGCATATCTTTGATTCTCATTTACTATTCTAAATATTTAGAATTCAGAACAAATTTGAAGCAGGATTTAGATTTTTAAATGTGATTAAATCCTGGCTCTATGTAACCTGAAAAGCTTCTTTTAAAAAACTAAAACTCTATTCACTAGTAATTAAGTGTAATTAATTAAATCTTAAAGACAAAATAAAGAATATTCTCATTTGAGTAATATTCTCTACTTCATGTTCTGTAGGTTTCTAGAATCACAGGAGCATATTTTTTCCACATATTTTTTTGAGATTAAAGGGATGATTGTTTTAAATCATGCAGAGCTAGAGGTAATAAAGGACTTTGACATAACAGATGTAGCCAATGCATAGTCAGGCAATCTATGAAGTTATCATTCTATGCTACTTCCTGTCCTTCACCTGGAATTTACTGCCTTCAGTGGAAGACAAACAAGCCTGCTTTACTTTGCTCCTACTCAGTTTCAGTGCAGTGGTCTAATCAGGTGTTGTCTCTCAGCCAGTGGGACAGTCATTACGTCTAACTAAATCCCCACTCCAAAATTACAATCCCCAACGCTCTCCCTCAGCTCTTGCTATTCTTGGTGCCTAAGCTTGGCAAGCACTTCTCTGTTTCACTCTGAACTTCATTAGGGCCTCCAGCTTTCCCACAGGACCAGAACCACCCCGATGTGAGTATCTTCATTTGAACCAGTATCCAGAAACTATGAACAGTGTCCACTAAAGTAAATTAGGCATCAGTACTTAAGTTACTCGCGGTCCTTGATAATCCAAGAAGATCTAGTCAACATATTCAATAGCTCTTAGGCAAATTCATCCTAAAGTAGGTATCTAAAATTTAATTGCACCTTAAAAACAACTACTTTTTCCTCAGACCAAAACCGGAGTCTAGAGCTGCTAGCTCACGTATTGACATTTATACTGATATCTAAGTTAGAGAGATAAACTTATTACTCTGTTTCTCCACATGAATCCACATGCCAGGCTAGATGTGGCAGATATTATCACAAAAGACTGAACATTAACAGAACTAGGCATATGACAAAACACAGCCACCGTGTCTTTTTAAAAGTGGCTGAAGGAATAGGCCCATCTCCAGTAACATCTGTGTGACTACAACATTTTGCCCATAAATAGATAATGATTTTGAGTAAGGTCACAAATGTGGACTTTTTAGTTCAAAAGTAGAACGAACCCTCTAACCTCTTGGCTATTATATCATGAACTGGCATCTCTGCCATGTCAAATAAAATAAGGAAAATTTATTTAGTTTTTGAAAGATTTGTTGCAGATGCCTGCCCAGAAGAGCAGATTCTAAGTACTAGAATTAGTATGGCTATAATCCCTGTACTTGCTTCACCTTATTGGCTTGCTCTAGGAACCTCGCTCAGTGAGAATAGTTTATTAGATTGCAAATCTGAGATATCTACTCATTTCTAGTCACTATACTTTTTTTTTTTAAAATACGAGATGATGGATAGCAAGTGAGCTTTAACAAAAAAAAGTCTACAAGTCATACTTTGAAATACGAGGAAAGTCTTACAGTGGTTTCTTCGTTCAAAATACTGAAATTTTATAAACACTTCCTTTTCACTATGGAGTGTATAGCTATACTATCAGAGTCCTTTTGCATACACTTAAAGGCCATAATATTTTGTGGTGTTAAGTCAGACCATGCATTTAGAAAACACTACCTGTCCTATTTGCATCTTCTCTTTTTCTAAAACATTAAATAACTGACACAACAACCTAAGACCCTTCACAGGCTGAATGTTAGCGAGACATGAGGCAAAAAAAAGGAATAAGTCAAAGACACAGCCAGCTGTGGAACTTACCTCTTAATTAAGGAATCAAAGGCCTCTTCTGAGAGGAATTTCTCCTATGGAAAAACAGTGCAAAGAGAAGGATTCAAGAATAGCTTCTAACCAGTTATTTGTTACATGGTGCACACTGCGAATTAACTGTCCCATGCTTTAAGGCAGTCTGAAGCTGTGTTACTACAACCTGGCCATGACTTTCAGGTTCTTCCCAAAAATGATGCATGAGTCTTTTTTTGCCTTTCAAGTGATAATTACATAATGTCAATTTAATCTAGCTAGTTTAAGTGAAGTCTTGCTGTTTCTTCTTGTCTCGCAGAAATTGAAATTTTTTTTCTGTGATAACAGTGAAAACTGTCTATAAATTGATCATCTTCATTATCAATTAATTTCTGTATGGATACTCTAGTTCTGCTGCCTTCCAATGGAATCAAAAGGAAGATACTAAAATTATAATCACAGCATTAGCAGACAATCTCACTCCTTTCTTGAGTGCATAAACTACTACGTCCTTTGTATGCCAGCTTAAATACTCTCCTCATCATTCTCGGGTAGCTTTGTCATAATTAAGAGAATAATGTGGAATAATCTTGAAACTCCCTTCTTTCTCCCAAATACTTCTTCAGGCTTATCTTCTGTCCTACTCCTTAAATGTGGATCAACAGACTCCCCTTGCGCAGTGTTCTAATGCCAGTGCAAGCATTAATACATTATAAAAAACTTGGCTTCATAAGAGAGAGTTAAGAATTCAGTTCCTGAAGATATATGCTGTATGAAAACAATACATTACACGAGAGACCAATTAAGTCAAGACCTTTGCCCACTGTTTTATCTGTGCCCATGTGTATATTAAGCAAAAAATATCAGGATTAAGTAAAGAATTCGCTACCGTGCAACAGATGTTAACTAATAAAATTTAATTAGAATCTG